CATCGACGCCGGCTCGAACGCCGAGTTGGTGATCTCGGCCACCGAGAGCTGTTCGTGGTACGCCTTCTCGGCCGAAATGACCGGCGCGTACGACGACAACATAAAGTGGATGCGCGGGTACGGCACGAGGTTGGTCTGGAACTCGGTCACGTCGACGTTCAGCGCACCGTCAAAGCGCAGCGACGCCGTGAGCGACGAGATGACCTGCGCAATGAGGCGGTTCAAATTGGTGTACGTGGGACGCTCAATGTCCAGCGACCGACGGCAAATGTCGTAGATGGCTTCGTTGTCGAGCATCACGGCCACGTCCGTGTGTTCGAGCAGCGAGTGCGTCGAGAGCACCGAGTTGTACGGCTCGACGACGGCCGTCGACACCTGCGGCGACGGATAGATCGTGAACCCGAGCTTCGACTTGCGGCCATAGTCGACCGAGAGACGCTCGAGGAGGAGTGCGCCGAGGCCGGACCCGGTACCGCCGCCAACGGCGTTGAAAACGAGGAACCCTTGGAGACCCGTGCAGTTGTCGGCGAGCTTGCGGATGCGATCAAGCACCAAGTCGACGATTTCCTTGCCGATCGTGTAGTGTCCGCGGGCATAGTTGTTTGCCGCGTCCTCCTTGCCCGAGATGATCTGCTCCGGGTGGTACAGCTGACGGTACGTGCCCGTGCGCACTTCGTCGCAGACGGACGGCTCGAGGTCCACGAGCACGGCGCGGGGCACGTGCTTGCCGGCGCCGGTCTCGCTGAAGAACGTGTTGAAGGCGTCGTCGCCGCCGCCAATGGTCTTGTCCGATGGCATTTGGCCGTCGGGCTGGATCCCGTGCTCGAGGCAGTAGAGTTCCCAGCACGCATTGCCGGTCTGGATACCGCCTTGGCCGAGATGGATCGAGATGACCTCACGCATGTTGTTGCTTGCTTAAGTGGTTGAGGAAGACAGAGGTCGCGGGTACACGAAGCTGCGTGAGGGAGCTTAGTCTACAAATGCGAAATGAGCTTGTCGGGAGTCTATAAATTGGAGCCGAAAGATCCAAGTCGTCAAAACGTCGATTGAGAAAATGGAGTTCGGCACCTGGAAATAGACATTTGCATACGAGAAGCAAGAGAAGGCGGAATCGAGGCTTTGACGCGACCGTTGCTGGCGGGCGTCGAGCGTTTGATTGGCTGGATTTGCTTTTCCTTCAAGTTGGGCGTTCGAAAGATCCGTTTTCCGCCGATCTTTCTGTAAATATCTCGACACCCCACCGGAGCTTTCTTCCGATAGCACCACGTAGAGAAAAGAGGTCGGCGAGGAATCGAGCGTACGTGGACGCGCGTAGAAGTGAGTAGAGTTGAGAACGAGACATTGTAAAGAACTCGTTGACTCGCGCTAGTTGCATGTTGAGGTGTCGTATGCTTTTCACAGCAGTCTATTCTTGCGCTGAGGGACGACCTGCCATCGCTAATCATGGCTGCTGCTATATCTGGGAGCGAAGGACAGGTGCGCCGAGCGGAGAAAGACCTCGACCAATGAAGCACCCAGGCTTCAAACAAGTAGTCCACTACCCTCTCACAGCTAATTTCTCGGTGCATGGAGTGAAGTTGTTTGCTGCGATTACGGGTTTGGTACCAAGAGTACTACAGAAACTTGGGTTATGCTCCCTTGGCAGGAACGCACTCCCTCCCCGGCACTGCAACGACGTGTTTAATTGGGTTCATTGTTATACGAGGGCGTTTTGCGAAATACCCTCAAGAGCACTTCACTGCGTCTCTACAACAGTGTTGCAGCATGCGGTCCTTTTGCCCGCTTACCACGGAAGCCATTGTCCATCTTGGCCATTCTTATTCCAGAGCCCAAGCAGTTGGTACGATTGTTGGCAACTTTGCCATAATGGTGGAAGGTCTTTGACTTCTGTGCAAAGCCGACATTCACATGTCTAGATCAGCTCTACCAATACACCGGTCACACACGCGTCTGTGGCCGTCCTAGTACCGCGTGGCTTCTCGACGGCATGGAGCTCGACAGCTCTTCGTCGCTTACACAAGCTCCAGGACTAACGTTGTGCACATCTACAGTACGATGCACAACAAGCGAGCGAGCCGCTACACCGTCAATGACGCGTGCAATGACGTCGTCGTTTGCCGTGGGAGGGCGACGGGAAGGGCTGATCGCGACCGGCACGGCGCACATTTATGCTGTCAGATCCGAGAAAGGACGTGCCGACGCGACGAGTTGCAGCTCGGAGCAGCTACTTTGGCGATGACACTCACTTGGCGCGCATTCTTGCCCTCTTTCTTTGCACGTCGCGCTCGCTTGAAGACCCGAGCAGAGGCGCGCAGCATGACGTTGCCATAGCCCGCGTCTGGCGCCAGTGGGTGTGTAGGTGTGATTTACGTGTGATTTGCATGTGGGAAACTCATTGCTTACAAAATGCAAGTACAAAACCTGTTCGCCCGCCTGGCTTTCACACAGACGACAGATTACACACACCATACGAGGACAGGCGCGGCATACGAAGACCAAGTGCGGTGAAATAGACACCCAAGCCTGACAAATTTGGCGGCCGCTGAGAAAGGCTGACACTCGAATGCGCGCCTGCTTGAGCGGTGTCGGGTGGGGGAGCCCAGTCCTATTAGCTACGATGGCCATGGCCCAGGACATCGTCGCCAACTGCGTCGTCCCGAGCGCCAACACACTCACGTCGTCCTGCTACGGTGCCTGCAACGAGACATCGGCCAACTCGACGACGGCGTCGTGCCTCGTCTTCGGCGCCAAGGACACTGCGACAGGCTGCGCCAACCAAAAGCCCGGTCTGTGCCACGAGGGCGTCGGACCCAACAAGTGCAAAGTGCTCTGTCTCGTACAGCCGGCTGATGCGTGGACGTACCTCGTCGGTGTCGCGGACCCCAACAGCGCAAACGTCGCCGACATTAAACGCATCGACAGTCTCGTGCTGCCACCGACGGTCACCTCTCTGTACGAACGACATGTGCGATGATAAGCACGATGGCTCATGACGGCGTAGACGACTCCTGCCCCGCGACAAGGTCGACAACCCCTCGACAACGATCGACGTATCGGCGACAAGCATCAAGCGCGCGCCGGGTTTGCGTTCACTGTACGTCCATGCAGTCTTCTTCCTTGAGCTCATCGCCTGTATAATAGGTCGGTCGAGCAACTTTTCGTGCCCAATATTAGCGCGCTCACGATCTTCCCCAACATCACCTCCTTGTACGTGTTGCTTCAGTACAGAATGAGGGCCAAATGCAACGGGTAGGCAGCTCAAGCAAGTCAAGCTGTCGCCGGACGAGTTCAACAACATTTTGCACGTCGAGTCGATCGAAACGCTGTAAACATCGCGTCACATCACGTCGAGATCGCTCACGCGTGTTTAGGAACTTAGCCAACAACAACCTTGCGACGATTCCTGGCAATGTCTTTGGCATGAAGTCGCTCAAGCAGCTCGACATCTCGATGAACCCGCTTCAGAGTGTCTTGCTCAGCAGTAGCGACGAAAAATTTCTGAGAAACCTTGCGACGTTGACTGCCACCGGCTCGCCGTCAATGCCGTGTCCGTCCAACACGGCCCCGAAGAACGTCCAAGGCTTGCAGTACTGCATGAGCAGTACGCGACTCTACCACCATGCATCCCGCAAACTAAGCGATACCCACACTAGGCTCGACGGTCGCCCCGTCAGACCCGCTGCACATGATCGAGTCGACGACGACAGCGCCAGCACCGACACCATCCCCCAGTGAGACGAGTCGCGGGTACGCGTTTTACCTATTTATCGGTCTCGGGTGCCTCGCCGTGCTCGGTGTCGGTGTCTACTTGCTTCTCTTCCGGAGCAAGCGGGCAGCGTCCAGAGCCAAGAAGAACCAAGCCACGAACCGCCAGGCGTCGGTTCACGTCGACGATGACCTGCAGGGCGCGACGGACACGGCGACCTTTCAGCCGTGCGCGTCGGTGCGCCCGAGCAGTGCGCTCCTCACAGCGCGCTCGTCGCTCTCGGCCGCAGCGCTCTCGATGCGGAGTCTCCACCACGAGATTGCGGCGCGCGACGTCGATGTCTCGGCGCACGCGGTAGTCTTCAAGCACAACCGGTTCGACATGCTCTTGGCCAAAGTCCGCGGGTCACCCGTGTACCTCAACCGCGTCCTGCCACTCACGCAAGACAAGGCGCTCTCGCTTCTCTCGATGCTCTCGACGCTCCGGCATCCGCGGCTCATGAACGTCGTGGGCGTCGTGTGGCGGTCCGTCGACGTTGGCGTTCAAATGGACGTGGCACTTGAGTTCCTCGACAGCGGGACGCTCGAGAGCGTCCTCCTCCTTGGACACCGCAGTCTCTCGTGGCATAGCGGGAAGCGCCAAATGGCCCTCGAGGTCGCCCTTGCGCTGCTCCAAGTCCACGAACACGACTTTGTCTACCACGGCTTGACGGGCAAGACTGTGTTTGTCGACAGTGCGCAGGGCTGCAAGCTGCACACGCTCGCACTCGTCGACGATAGCGCGATCGACGACGACCAGAGTCGGACCGAAGACCGCATCTTCCTCGCGCCCGAAGTGCTCACGGGGTGCGCAATCTCGAGCGCCACCGACATGTACGCGTTCGGCGTTCTCCTCATGCTTCTGGATGCGGCCGTGACGCCGTGGCAGCTCAGCCGACGGACGTGGATCCAAACCGCGAGCGACCCATCCGCTGCCTTTCCTGATGAAGTCGACATTACGAGCTTGCTCGGGCTCTACGCCTTCGACACGTGCCCTGCGATCATCAAGGCCGTCGCCAAGTCCTGCGTGCACCCCGACCCGATGCAGCGCCCGAGCGCGTCGTTTGCGTATGCCATGATGCGAAAAGATCTCGTTGGGTAGAGATCACCTCCTAATCTACTGTCGTGTGTCTGTTGCTGTCTGCGCTTGCTTGTCACTCTCTACTCATCTTGCGTGGCGATCCTTGTAAGCAGCGGTCCCAGCAGAGGAGAGCACCCGCAGCTCTTTGCTCCGGCGTCGGGCGATAGAGTCGGTGGCACTATCAAGTGGCAAGACGCGAGTGCAGTCACAAAACCATTGGATTTGGGGCTATTAATCTCCAAAGAAACTTGGCTTTTCGATGGAGAAGTTGCAACAACATGCCAAGGTCCAAGAGGGGTCTGTCAACCACGCCACAAGAAGCTACCGTGAAGTCAGCAAAAGAGCGCTTAGATGTCCTTGCGCGGGAGGCCCGGGGGGAGCGACTGGGTGAGCTTGTCGGCCTTCTCCGTGTCCGTGACGCAGAGCGTGTAGAGGTACTTGGAGCAGCGGATCTTGAACTTGACGACCTGCGGGGTCTTCTTGATCTTGACCGAGCGGGCGTCCTTTCGGCGCGCCTTCTGGAGGAAATCACGGATGTCGGTAATCTGCTTCGGCTACAGGAGGAGAGGAGGCATGAGCCATCATGATCATGATCATGCCAGCGCATGTCGCCGCCAGAGGCGGGGGCGCCAAGGTTTCGTCGTCGTACCATTGTCTACTACTGGCTTGGTTAATGTGGCAACTGCAGCAAAGTAATCGGCTCGGCGATCGCACCAAACCGAGCTCACTGGCTGGGAACACTGCACACCAAGGATGCGAACGGCCAATCAGAACGCACGTCCTTCCAAAACCAGTAACTACGGCCTCCTCCGATTGGCTGAAATGCAAAACCATTCGTGCCCGCCGATTGGCGTAGGACCACTGGCCTCGGCGCTGTGATTGGCGGAAAGCGAATCGGCGCGCCATAAACACCCATCCATGTCAATGAGCGCACGCTCGGCGCATGCATTGGGCGTACGGACGGCACGATGCGAGAGGCGACGCGCCAGTGATGCTGCTTTGCGCAGAGACCCTGGCGCTCGAAGAAGGTTCTTACACGATGGAGCGGTCGACCGAATGCGTATTCAACGCTCGGGGCAATTGCTGGTCTACGAATTGCAGCCAACACGCCATGACATGGACGCGAAGCCACTGGATGACAAGACTGCGAGGAGAGACTCTGCAGGTCCTGTGACGCTTGCGGCCATGCGTCGTCGCACGGTCGGCGCAGACCTGCCTCCCCCGTTGCGATGAACGCTCGAGTGCTTCCAATAGG